TTAGGAGGGTCCTGCTCCTTGGAGCTTACAATCTAGGAGGGAGGGGCTTGTGGTATAAAAGGTAATAACTGTGGGGGATGGACTGGTTGGAAGAGTAGAAGATTCCATTATTAGCTGAGGGCAGGATAGGCTTCCCTGAAGAGATAGGTTTTCAGAGATCACCTAAATGTGAGCAGAGTAGGCGATAGTCTGATAAATTGGGGCAGAGAGTTCCAGAGGATGGGAAGCTCTGGAGAAGTCCTGGAGACAAGCATGGGAGGAGGAGACAAGGGAGCTAGAGAGCAGGAGGTCTTGCGAGGAGCGGAGAGTACAGTTTGGGTGATATTTGGAGATAAGATCGGTGAAGTATTTTGGGGCAGGAGGAGTTATAAATGGCTTTATATGTTATTGTTAGTGTTTTGAATTTTATCCGTGGAGGGATTGGGCAATGGGAAGCCAGTGGAGGGATTGGCAGAGAGGGGTGGAGGACACTGAGTGGAGGCCAGTGGAGGGATTGGCAGAGAGGGATGGAGGACACTGAGTGGAGGCCAGTGGAGGGATTGGCAGAGAGGGGTGGAGGACACTGAGTGGAGGCCAGTGGAGGGATTGGCAGAGAGGGGTGGAGGACACTGAGTGGAGGTCAGTGGAGGGATTGACAGAGAGGGGAGGAGGACACTGAGTGGAGGCCAGTGGAGGGATTGGCAGAGAGGGGTGGAGGACACTGAGTGGAGGCCAGTGGAGGGATTGGCAGAGAGGGGTGGAGGACACTGAGTGGAGGTCAGTGGAGGGATTGGCAGAGGGGGGTGGAGGATAATGAGTGGCGGCCAGTGGAGGGATTGACTGAGAGGGGTGGAGGACACTGAGTGGAGGCCAGTGGAGAGATTGGCAGAGAGGGGTGGAGGTCAGTGGAGGAATTGGCAGAGAGGGGTGGAGGACACTGAGTGGAGGTCAGTGGAGGGATTGGCAGAGAGGGGTGGAGGACACTGAGTGGAGGTCAGTGGAGGGATTGGCAGAGAGGGGAGGAGGACACTGAGTGGAGGTCAGTGGAGGGATTGGCAGAGAGGGGTGGAGGACAATAAGTGGAGGTCAGTGGAGGGATTGGCAGAGAGGGGTGGAGGACACTGAGTGGAGGTCAGTGGAGGGATTGGCAGAGAGGGGTGGCTGATACAGGTGGGTCATGTTCAACAGTGGTACTGCCTACCTAACGCAACAAGGGAGTACATTTCTCCCACAACCACAAAGCAAACTTTGAGGCCGTGGCATTTGAACACCCCCATCTCCATAATTAATTGTAAAAATACTTCCACCCCCCTCCTAGTACCTAGCCTTGCTGACCTGTGTAAGATAGATCTGTATACTTACCTGGTTTCATGCCATTCCAGTCTAGTCACATGATCTCCTCTGAGTCAGCCAGCTACAGGGTACAGGGGAGCATTCAACAATGGCTGGTAAAGCCTGGAACGGTGACATTGCCCATAGCCTTCAATGACCAATCCATTGTCAGCACTTCCTCCTCTCCCCTGTAGGGGTGTGGCAGATCACGTGACCAGACCAGACCAGCATGAAAATTGGAAAGTATATACATCTTTTTTACACAGATTAGTAAGCATTAGAGTTGGGGGGGGGGGTTTGTGTTTTTAAGATTAGTTAGGGTTATACTGGATATTTACTTTAAGGGCGGGGAAGGGGCAGTAAAAATGCCACTAAACCGTGTGTTTTTAGCACCTCCCCTCACTCTATCCAACATGAAAAACAAACTTTTTGCCTTTAGCTCTACTTTAAGTGAGTTTTGGTAGTTGTAACTGTGGGCCTTTGGCCAAACACAACTGGGCAGTACCCTGCGACCACCGATGTGGTGTCCTGTATCCCGGTCACAATGGGGAAGATGGACTGCCAGTTGGTAACACTTTCGTAAAGATTAACAGAACACGTCAAGACTTGACTGATGGACATGCAGAATATCGAGGCTAATACTTATTGCCCAATCCATAAAACCACCACCACCCTTCAACCTTCCCCCACCTAAATAAACACGCGACTCTCTTTTGGTGTAAAACCGGCCATAGCAGCCATTTATTTAACAAAACTCTAACATACCACTTCTTACAGTACAATCAAATAATAACTGACAGTTATGATCCCAACCGGGTCCAAGGTCTTTGAAGGCACCATTACTCACATCAAAACTCAGCTGTATCTGACACCCAATGAAATGGCCCCCAGCCTCTACTACACCGCCTCGGGGACAATACTACAGTTACGTAGTCCCAGATACAGCCAATGAACTCCCACATTACCAATGTGACCTTATAATTGGGAAGGAACACCCATACCTACGATGGGCCCAACCCATAATCCACCAAATTGTCACTCCAGCACCGCCTTCAAAGACCCATCGACCCCTGCCGGCTACCATGACAGAACAAACAGACAAACACCTCGGAACACTAAATGCCCTTCAGGACATGAAACAAAATCAAGGAACCCACTCAAAGCAAACACAAAGAACAACCATAACCCAAACAGCAAAACAAAAACACGAAACAGCTCCAGGGGGAGGGCGGAGAAACCACCCCCATGCTGGCACAAGCTGACCTCCGACAAGACCCAACCCCTCTCCTAATCCTGGCAAGACCACCCTTCAAGGTTGCGTACTCCAATCAGGTAAGTAACCACCCCCCTTATCTCCTGCATATACTCCCCCCAAAATACACGCTCCGCCTCGTCTGCACGCCCCGGTCATGCTGACCCTCCCTTTTCGCTTTGCTCAGTCCAGGCCCTGACCGGATATACGTTCAATGAAGGTGCACACAGATGACTGTATTTAGTAACTCTCCAGAGAAGTATGGTCAGCGGTCCCTTTTACGTTTCCTTTAGCCCAGGACAGGTAGGTATTACACCGTGATGAGCTCCACCATAGATCTGTACAAATGGGATGCATCTCATTATCTCAGCAGCTGTGACTCCTTTATAGAAATGTTATCAGACTCTATTTTATAGAAGGTATTTGGGCTTGATAGGTTTATCGAAATAATTGCAATTTATAGCTTAACACTTGCATATCAGACTTAAAGTCCATCTCCGGGGAACAATCCTTCCCTGCAGTGGGGCTGCCCCTGGACTGCAAGGATTAAATGCTCATTCAGGTCTAGGGCAGAAATCTCCAGTCTCTTTCTAAACAAAGATCCAGTTTACTGTCCTCAAACTTTACGGGGGGGGGGGGGGGGGGGGGGGGGTTAATGTAGCCAATAGGAATAGACAGTGTCTCAGGCTTGGCGGTCAGCAAGAGTAAAAAAATTACATCATTGGTGTCAGGGGGAAGAATGGTGCCCCATCGTTGGTGTCAGGGGGAGGAATAGTGCCCCATCATTGGTGTCAATGGGAGAAATAGTTCCCCAATGTTGGTGTCAGTAGTTCAGCATCATTGGTGTCAGTGGGGGGAATGGTGCCCCATCGTTGGTGTCAGTGGTAGAAATAGTTCCCCATCACCAGTGTCAGTGGGAGGATTAGTTCCCATCATTGGTGCCAGGGGGAGGAATAGTGCCCCATCATTGGTATCAGTGGGAGGAATAGTGCCCCATCATAGGTATCAGTGGGAGGAATAGTGCCCCATAATTGGTGTCAGTGGGAGAAGTAGTTCCCCTACGTTGGTGTTAATGGAGAGATTAGTTCCCCATCATTGGTGTCAGTGGGAGAAATAGTGCCCCATCATTGGTGTCAGTAAGGGAAATAGTTATCTAATGCCAGTGTCAGTGGGAGGATTAGTTCTCCATCATTGGTGCCAGGGGGAAATAGTGTCCCATCATTGGTGTCAGTGGGAGGAATAGTGCCCCCTCGTTGGTGTCAGTGGGAGGAATAGTGCCCCATAATTGGTGTCAGTGGGAGAAGTAGTTCCCCTACGTTGGTGTTAGTGGAGAGATTAGTTCCCCATCATTGGTGTCAGTGGGAGAAATAGTGCCCCATCATTGGTGTCAGTGGGGGAAATAGTTATCGAATGCCAGTGTCAGTGGGAGGATTAGTTCACCGTCATTGGTGCCAGGGGGATAAATAGTGTCCCATCATTGGTGTCAGTGGGAGGAATAGTGCCCCCTCGTTGGTGTCAGTGGGCGAAATAGTTCCCCATCATTGGTGTCAGTGGGGAAAATAGTTATCTAATGACAGTGTCAATGGGAGGATTAGTTCTCAATCATTGGTGCCAGGAGGAGGAATAGTTTCCCATCATTGGTGTCAGTGGGAGGAATAGTGTCCCATCATTGGTGTCAGTGGGCGAAATAGATCCCCATCATTGGTGTCAATGGGAGTAATATCATCCTTACAGATGGCTTTAAAGATCACTGGTGGCACGCCACTGGTTCTGCCAAGAAGCACTTGCTCTGGAACTATGCAGTCTCCATCAGATGGGAAGTCAATCAGCCACAGCTTGAGAAACTGCTAGAAAACTCTGGAGAGACCGCAGGGTTCTACAGATCCTGGCTAAGAATGGCTGGTCTAGATGCCATCCCTACTTCATCCAAGAGCTAGGTTTTAGGTTTTGGCAGATATGCACACTTTCCTTTAAGGCCCCATGTACACGGGACGTTTCTGAACGATGGAAACTGACTGCTGGAAAATGTAGGTTAAAAGTAGGTTAAAAATCTGTTTAGCCGCGTTTGCATAACGCGTTTATGAGTGTTTATGTGCGTATACATTTAGAAGCGTTTTTTAAAGATAAGCACAGGAGAAACTCCCAAATGCCCAGAATGCACTGAAAAGTGGTAAATTATTAACTTTTTCAGACTGTTTCAAAGAAATACAGAGAGTAGAAGCAGAGCCAGCAGTATGTGTTGAGATTAGCTTAGGTGTGAGTTGCTCATTAACATTTCTTTTGTTTCCAAGGGTGGGAAAGGCATCTGGTGGAGGGAATCATTAAGGCCACCTGGCAGGGGGTCTTCATGAGGAATTTGAGGTGTGAATTGGTCATTAACATATCTTTGGTTTCCAAGGGTGGGAGAGGTCTGAGGTGTGAATGGTCATTAACCTATCTTTTGTTTCCAAGGGTGGGAGAGGTCTGAGGTGTGAATGGTCATTGACGGTCTGAGGTGTGAATGGTCATTAACATATCTTTTGTTTCCAAGGGTGGGAGAGGTCTGAGGTGTGAATGGTCATTAACCTATCTTTTGTTTCCAAGGGTGGGAGAGGTCTGAGGTGTGAATGGTCATTAACATATCTTTTGTTTCCAAGGGTGGGAGAGGTCTGAGGTGTGAATTGGTCATTAACATATCTTTTGTTTCCAAGGGTGGGAGAGGTCTGAGGTGTGAATGGTCATTAACCTATCTTTTGTTTCCAAGGGTGGGAGAGATCTGAGGTGTGAAATTGGTCATTACAATGTGTGACAAGCTTGGTAGGAACATCCTGTGTTCAGTGTTTTGTCCATCTGAGTACCTTGAAAACTCTTTGCATGCATTTTTCATGATAAAAAAAAGGTTCTGGACAGCATCGGGAAATGGAAGAGTTAAAATTTTTTTTTTAAATGCAACTGCTTATAAACGCAATTTGCCATGTTTAGCCGTGTTTACAAGCGTTTTGCGTTTGAAACACTGATAAAATCAACAACTGAACGCAAGTTTGTTGCGTTAAAAAAAAAACGACTGTAAACTCAACTGCCTGTAAACGACTGTAAACGACGATGTGTACATGGACACATAGGAAAACATTAGGGAGAGTTCAGGGGCTGCTGAAACTGGCACATGCGCAGATACGTCGAGGGGGACAGATCCTCATAGGAGACAGATTTTCATGCTACACCGGAACGGCGCGGGAACACGGCGAGAGGAATGTGCGGAGCAAAGGTAAGTGAATTGACACAGGGGGGACTTGGGGACTTAATATGGGGGATGAATTACTATATGGGGGATGAAATTACTATAGGGGGGATGAATTACTATGGGGAATGAATTACTATGGGGGGATGAATTACTATATGGGGGATGAATTACTATGGGGGATGAATTACTATATGGGGGATGAATTACTATATGGGGGATGAATTACTATATGAGGAATGAATTACTATAGGGGGGATGAATTGCTATATGGGGGATGAATTACTATGGGGGATGAATTACTATATGGGGGATGAATTACTATATGGGGGATGAATTACTATGGGGGATGAATTACTATATGGGGGATGAATTACTATAAGGGGGAAGAATTACTATGGGGGATGAATTACTATGGGGGATGAATTACTATATGGGGGATGAATTACTATGGGGGATGAATTACTATGGGGAATGAATTACTATATGGGGGATGAATTACTATAAAGGGGATGAATTACTATGGGGGATGAATTACTATATGGGGGATTAATTACTATGGGGGATGAATTACTATATGGGGGATGAATTACTATATGGGGGATGAATTACTATATGGGGAATGAATTACTATAGGGGGGATGAATTACTATGGGGGATGAATTACTATGGGGGATGAATTACTATATGGGGGGATGAATTACTATGGGGGATGAATTACTATATGGGGATGAATTACAAGGGGGATGAATTACTATATGGGGGATGAATTACTATATGGAAGGGATGAATTACTATATGGGGATGAATTACTATGGGGATGAATTACTATATGGGGGGATGAATTACTATATGGGGGATGAATTACTATGGGGGATGAATTACTATATGGGGGATTAATTACTATGGGGGATGAATTACTATATGGGGGATTAATTACTATGGGGGAATATTACTATACTTACTATGGATGACACATACACATCATTCATCTACTCTTGGTCCGTCCCCGGGTCCAATATATGAACCCATTGCGGCCCTCAAGTCAAAAAGTTTGCCCACCCCTGCTCTAGACCCTCAGCTCCATGTAAACAATCCATCTATGAAATAGAGTGATGATCACAGTAAATATTAATCAAACACCCGGTTCTGTTCCTCCGACCTCCGATTAGTATCATACATCAAGCATTGCGGCTTCATGTTCTTTACTATCGTCTCATGCGATGCAATTGATATTTTTAGATTCAGCCAAAGGCTACAGGCAGTTGTGCTTTGATTGGATCCATCTGTCTGTATGTGCCCCACACAAACACGTCTGACATCTTTCAGTTGAAACATGTTTATGCATTTTATTACCAAAGTCAAAAATCACCACCAACTAAAAAACGCAATCTTAAACTAGCCTAAAGCATGCAAAGGTGGACTCTTATTAAACACTATATATAAAAAGAGACTCAGCGAGCGCTTGACAATAATATAGCAGCTAAATGCACCATAAAAAGGAACCAATGACCTTCAAAACAGCATAAATAATAAAAAAAAAACTGCAGCGCTATGATATCATAAAACCATAAAATCCACAACTGATGAACAAAGATAAAGTGCCGTGACGTCACGCCGCCGGAACACGGAGGTCCGGCGGCCATCTTTAGATTCCAGCTGGTCAGTTTCTTATGCCAGCAATGTGCTAAACTGTATTATTTCCTACGGATGACATGCTTCTTTCTTAATAAATAATTCAAGTCATACTACACTATGGGCACCTTTCTTTCTGCACCGAGCTAGTAGCCTCCCTAGCAGTCTGAATATGTCCATATTTCTGTGCTCAAAGCGGTACATTTTTTTGCATGTAAATATGTCGTTTTTTTATTGTAGGCCTGTAATTCTTAGGAATAACTCACTGAAATCTGTTCCGAACAAGAGTCTAGTAAACATCCGGGGATGATAAAATTTGAAACACGAAATCATAAATTATATTATAATAATTAATCATAAAAAATAATAATATAATAATAATACATTTAATTCAATAATATAATCAAACCAAAAACACTGAAATATGAAATAGAGCGCCAAGTTCGCACATCGCTGAGCAAAGTCGCAGAATCGTTTTCAGTGTCTGATGATGAATTTCCCCCACGAATCATTATCACTCAATTCTGCAAGTGGTTCTGATTTACTATCGCTGTTCTCTAGCCGGTCTAAAACCGCTTTTGACCTAAAGGGACGCTTTTTGGACGCCATGGACGTTTCTCAGTTTCCAGGCAGAAAGAACAGTAAAAATGCAGGCAGGGCGCCGGACAAAGCACTCGGGACAAAATGTATGTGAAATGGTTTGATACAGGAATGTTATACTATGTGATTTTAGTGTATTTAGTGAATGTCACTTTTTGTCATTTTCAAATTTCCCGCCAGTTCTGTCCCCCGTACGTCCCGACGTCGCAGGGAACGGAACCCAGAAGACAGATGCCGGAATCGGCCGGAGGACATTACAGGGACACAGCAAGGGGGACATCGCGGGAGCGCAGGACAAGGTAAGTGAAGAAGCGATCCGGAGCAAACGCCGCAGTGTATTCCCGAGTGTAGCTCGGGGTTACCGCTTGTGGTGCTGAAACTTTACCCCGAGCTACACTCGGGAATACCGCCAGGGCGGTTAACTTTGCAGGATCCTCGGTGACATCTGGCCATAACCAGCCCCAGAATCCAGAGGAGGGATATCCATACCAGTCTCCACATTTCACCCCACCTTAAAGGGGACCTCTGGCTGATTCCAACATATTGTGTATACTGCACATTTAAAATGCGCATCTGGTGAGTGTGCATTTTTATCACCTTCCGCACGTCACCAAAATCATCTTCATGTGAGTTATTGGAATATTGTAAAAATTGTATCCCTCACTTCGGGATCAGATTCTATATCACTAAGGACTATTTGCACATCCTTTTTTGGGACAATCATTAGCACAATTATTTATTTTATTATTATGTATCTACCATTTTAATGTTTATTTATGATAATCAAACACCAGTCCACTCCAGAATATTTATTTATTAATTTCACTCTATATGAATTTCACTCATTATTTCTTGGATTATAGATACATCTAGCACTTTATATTTATTCATCAGTTGTGGATTTTATGATATCATAGTGCTGCACTTTTTTATTATTTATTATTTCTCTTATTAAACACCGCCGAAAGAAACTCGGAGGACATTTAATGGGATGCAAATATCTAAAAGAAATAGAAAGATGGTTATCCTCGTAAATGTGTAAAGGGGGAAGTCTAAAATTAGTAACTAATTCCGAATGTACATGTTCATGATGAATCTGACCGGCTGAGAGGACGGTAATAGTTTCCACTGGCTTTGTAAAGATTAACACCGCACCGCAGGTTACAGGGAGTTTTCATTCTCTTCTTTCCCATGGAAAAAAAAAATACAATTTCATGTCTTTGTAGCTGCCAGATATAAATCAGCAGTTTAAACCGGGACACGGTCACCGAAAAAGGAAAAAAAAAAAGAAAAGTAATTGCAGATTTGAGTTGATCTTTACATATCTGCATCTATTATACAAATCCGGGTTTACTGAGCTCTTCAAAGGGCTGTAATCCTAATGAGCAGGGGCGGACTGACCATTTGGAAACTCGGGCACTGCCCGAGGCCCCGGGGTCAGTAGGGGGCCTCGTGAGATGCCCCTGGTACCTTTTTCTTAGGCTTTTTTGAGTTTGGGCAAGGACATAGGGGCCCCATGATCCCCTATTGCCCGGTGGCCCCATGAGTTGTCAGTCCGCCCCTGCTAATGAGTTGCTGAAATGACAAAATCATAGGTCCTTTTTCACACCTACTGACTGCGAGAGATCGAGAAGAGGGAGACTTTTAACCCCTCTATGACCAGAGTTAAAAAAATATTAGGCTTTTATTTCTCAGAGAATAGGTACAGGCAGGGGCGGACTGACCATTCGAGCACTCGGGCACTGCCCAAGGGCCCGGGGTCAGTAGGGGGCCTCGTGAGATGCTCCTGGTACCTTTCATTGGCTTTTTCATAGTTTTTTTTGGGTGTGAGCGAGGACACAGGGGCCCCATGATCCCCTATTGCCCGGGGGCCCCGTGAGTTGTCAGTCCGCCCCTGGGTACAGGTACTCCAATCTCCCCTGGGTCACCCTTTATCTCTGCCCCTGACCTACCTATGAGAATGGTCCCTGGCCCCCTATCCACCTCCTGCTCCTTAGAGAGTACAGAGCCATGTATCATTCTGTGGCGTTAAGTAATTTGTGTGGAATTGGTTATTGATAATAGACCCCCCAGCAACAATAGATCTGCCCCAGCAACAATAGACCCCTGCTGGCAACAATATATCTCCCAGCATCCAGCATCAATAGACCTTCCCCCCTCAACAGTAGATCCCCCCAACAACATAAGAACCCCAGAGCAAGAATAGATCCCCCAGCAGCCAGCATAATTAGACCTCCTCCTGTCAACAGTAGAAACCCCCAACAACAATGAACCCCAAAGCAACAAAAAAATCCCCCAGCAGCCAGAATCAATAG